TTTTTCCTGTATTGTTGTGCAGTATTAGTATTGTGAAGGAATATATCGTTGAGCAGCTAGTTTTTTATTGGCGTATCTCCTTGCAGGAAACGTCTCACTGCAGCATAGCTTAAAAAAATCTGCCTCTTTGTGTTGAATAACAACGTTCTGGGAAGTTAGTTTTCATTTGATTACCTTGGCTAAAGTGGATGTCCCTACTTGAACAATTTCAATTTTTAGATGATCAAATTTCAGCCAAGATATTTTGTTAATATAGCCTACCTGTTTGTTTTATTTTGTTGAATCTTTGATACAGAAGCTTAACCTAAAAGACTATTATTCTCTGAAGCAAAACATGAAAAAATCATTCAAGTTTAACAGAATATTCAGTGTGGCTTCATAGAGGCACTAAACTACTTTCCATTTCAAGCAGGCCATTTCCTCAGCTGAAAACTCTACTTGTTTGACAGATTGTCATTTAACGTGCTTACAGCAACGAACGTGAACAGAGCACTGGCAATGTCAGGGCTAAAATATAACACCAAAATAATTTGCAAAGCTCCTTGGAGTTTGTCAGGCAGGGCCAAGCCTTGTGCTCCTTATCATTCAAATGTTATTGCAGATGTGTACACTAAATGCTGCTGGTATTATGTGTAATGTGATTTGACCCATTTTGCAGTGTGTGTTGGTTATTATGTTGATTCTGTTTTCTGACAGATGAATTTGTTGATCTAAATATGTCTGTTAAAAGGTGTGTAACTCATTTATACATCTGAAATTTAATGCACACTCTTACAGAGACAGTAGTTGTGTTCTCTAAATAACAGGAAAATTATTTCCTTTCCATACTCTCAAAAAAGGTTTCTGAAAGGACATTTGCCTCTTTATAATCTTGTGTATGAGCTTCTCAATAAAAGGGTCTTTTAAATGAATTTTAATTAAAAGGGAAAATGCCAGTTCAGAGAGTCACTTTGAGTAATATATTCATGTCAATTTTAATCTAGGAGATGCCAACAGACAAATTAGTGAATACAAATTTAAGCTTTCGAAAGCCGAGCAAGATATGACTACCTTGGAACAAAATGTAAGTGTACCTGTTTTTTTCAGGGTTTTTTTGTTTTTTTGTTTTTTTTTTCAACAGAAACTATGAAAATATATTGCATCATTTGATTTACTGTTTGTTCTTTAGTTTGCACAGAATGGCACTACATTTCTATTTTTTTTCATATTTCCTGCAATTCAACACCTGCACATAGAAAAAACAATCTGGAGTTAATTTACTAAGATGTGAATATACAGCAGGATAATGAGGAACTGAAACTGAAGCTACTAGTTCAAGAAAATCAGTTTATGTAGCTTAATTACTTGTAAAAAAGTTGTATAGTCTGTGGAAGGTACATAATTTACTCTCTGAAATTCAAGAGTTTCTTTTTAGAGAGATACATATATCTCTCACACTGATTTACTTTGTGATTGGAAGGCAGTAATATGATATTATATAGTTCAGTATCTCTGTACATCACCTAAAAATCATATAAAGGATTATAATTGGAATCAGAGATGCATAGTTGGTCTCTCTTGCACAGCAACAGGCTACTAACTCATCCCATGGATTTGGGGGTAGCAGGGAGCTATCAGGATAACAATCCAGCAAGTGGGCTTTAACACCTGCAGATTACAACCAGGATTTGTCTTGAGCCCCCCTTTACTGCTGAACTCGGTGCTTCAGCTCAAGACCTCTTGCACCATATTCCCATAACAGAGTCTCCTTCCTACTTTACACCTTTTCATATGGTCTCTGTTTTTCAACTTTCCAGCTTTGGTTTTTAATCCCATGTGTTCCACAACTCTTGATTTTTATTTTTTTTCCTTTTTCCATCTCTTGCCTCTCTGCTTGGTTCTTTAACCCTGTATCTTCACAGCTGTGTCCTATGCTGTGTTCCATTCTCTGCTGTTTCCTGTGACCCTCACCAGGGAGAGACAGGCAGTGAAGGGTATTACAAGTTTCTGCCCACAGTATATTTTACTGGTTTAATAGTTCTTTTAAACATTCTTTTTGCTATTATGGCTGTTGCTGACACAGTTAAACCTCCTCTTTCCAGAGGGAGATACTATGGATAATTCACAGGATGCCTTGTGTTACTGTGCTTTTTCAGAAAGGGGAGAACAAGTGGTGGCAGGGGTCAGCTCAGGTTGGAGCACCCTGAGTAATCGTTCCTTTTGTCCTGTTTGGGTTTGCAGATTGGACGACTTGAGGGGCAGGTTGCAAGGTATAAAAATGCAGCAGAAAATGCAGAAAAAGTAGAAGATGAACTCAAAGCTGAAAAGAGGAAGCTTCAGCGAGAGGTAATTGACTTGATTTCCTTTTCAGCTGTATGCTCCTTTCAGTCGTGAACTGTTCTGTCTTTTGCATCCAAGCTCTGTTTTGTTGTAATCTTTGGTTACAGCTTTTAAGTGTTTTTTGAGGAGGCCTCTGAGTCTCAGTGTTACATTCAGAAGGCAGCTGTAGCACATAAAAGTAATACTAATTACAATTCAATACACTACGTCCTTGAAAGGAAGGTTCCAAACTTTTCTTCTAAATGTAGTAGCTTTAACTATTTTAAACTAAACCTTCCATAAAAATTACTGGGGAGTCAAGTGCCAGCCTGGGAGGTTTCCAGGATGCATCTCACGAGGAGCTGGGAAGAAGCTGTATTTAAGGGAGCTGTTGGTCATGCTTGCTTGAGAGCTGCTGCATGACTAGCATGATATCTGCCACCCATGGGAATATATATCCATCAGCAAGTAACAATGGTGGAGAGGACTTTACCTTTAAACAGGATGGAATAGGAAGTTGCAAGCACCAAGCTCTTCTTGGAATGAGTAGGTGTTTCATGTTTCCATTGCTTCCCAATTAGGTTTTTTAAACAGTTGAATTCCAGTTCATCTGACTGCAATAATGAAAGTGTTGTGTCTTGTCTTATGTCCAAGTAAACTTTAAGCAATCATAATTTTTCCTTTCATTTTATAGTTAAGAACAGCACTGGATAAGATAGAAGAGATGGAGATGACCAATAGCCACTTAATGAAAAGGCTGGAGAAGATGAAGGCAAATAGGACTGCGCTTTTATCTCAACAGTGAAGTGGAAGTTCAAAATATGATGCACTGCTCCTTGAATAACTAGCCCCTAGTTTTTAAATACAGACTTTCATTGGCATGAACTATTTGAACACTGAGCTGTTCATTGGTGTTTCAGTTTCAGAATTAAAATACGTATTTCTTTTTGTAACTTATGAGAGAATGAAATACAGTTTGAATTCCCATTTGAATGACAGCAATTTTTTCTGTAGTGTTTGATTCTAGGGTCAGAGCTGGAGCACAATGCTGGATGTTTGACTTAGCGATAGAAAAAGTTTTTACAACTGTGGAATCAAGTTTACTCACGATCTCTTTTGGCTGCTTTAATGATGCTTGATGCTCCGAGACAACTGCATGAATTCAAGAAGACACTGTATACTGTATCGTAAACTAACATATATTTGCTCAAGACATCACACAGCACAAGTGCCTTTTATCTGGTGCAATTTAGACTTCATTGTTGAAATAACTTTGAAATCAGATAACATTTTATTTTAGGATACATTTGGGGTATTCACTAAACTTTATACATTTTGAAAATACATTTTTGTAAAATATTTAAATTTATAAGGAAAAAAATAGGGACTGTATATAAAAAAATCTGCTTTTTTTGCATGGGCACATCTGAATTCTAGGTAATTTTGTCAAATATTAGCCCCTGATACTCTTAGTATTAAGAGTGCAGATTTAAAAACTTCTGTTGTACACCATCAAATTATATGTCATCTGCTGCTTAAGTGTGAATTGAAATTTTTAGGGTGGGAGGTAGGGGTGGGAGATTTGGCTAAGGAGTTTATTAAATGGACACTTTACTGACCAAACCCAGATGTTTTGTGTTTTCTTCTAAATACTGAGATACCAACAGCACAAAGCAAAATCTTTGCAGAATAATAAATTCTGATCTCCATATTCTTGGAAATTATCTTTTTGGCTTTGAAATGGTGAGTTTGAATTTTTTTTTTTCTGATTTCTTAGCTTGGTCTGCTACTCTTTGACAGTACTGCCATGGAGGATGGGGTCAGTACAAGGAAGGAGGCGCTTTCTGGAGCGGTGTGTGTTTTGTCTGTAGCCTGCTTTGTGGACAGTGAATGCTCTTAAGAACTTCCACTCTTTTCAAGCTGGCACTTCACAAGTGGGAAATGAGCAGCACCTGCAGCAGCAAATTTGAGGTGGTGCTGCCCCTGTGTTGGACTTTGCTTGAGGCCAGCAGGAGCCCAACATTTGGTCTGAGAGGAATCATTCTTTTGGATTCGTATCAGATGCTTTCCTGTTGCAAATTTCTACCCTTCAGGAGTACTTCTCAAAGTGAGGCAGGCTTCAGGACCTTTGCTATCCAGGGCTTGGTGCCTCTGCTTTCACCAGAGCTGCTTTCCAAAGGAACAGCCGTCTTTACAGTGCAAAACTGAAGCTTTCTGCCTTTTTCTGTTTGGATGCTAGTTGCCTCTTGGACTTGGAAAAGAAAATGCCTTCCCTGTTGAGAAATCTTCCTGTAAGTAGCAGATCTCCTTAGGCATACTCATTAAATAAGAGACAGTTGTACTTTGGTGATCACATAGATCATGTCTGTGCTGTTTACTCCTTGCATTCTTTTGTGTACGTGTTCAGAAGAAATTATCAGGGTTTTGGTTAGTTGTTCTTAATTCTTCTTATTCTGAAGATAAAGGGATACTTTGCAGGTTTTTAGAGTGTTCACACGTACAGAACTCTGCTAAAGCTGTATTTGGTATATGGTGGGGAGCACATCCTCTGGTTTACTTCCTCTCAGCCATCTGTTGAAGCTGGACATTTTATAGCACAGGGACAACTGTGTGAGTTCAATATTAAACTATTGATATGGACAGATATGGAATTACCAGCTCAGAATTACCAGCTTACTGCAAAACTTCTTCTGGAACACAGGTAAAGCATCAGTACATCCTTTCTAAAGATCAGTATTTTCAGTACTTTTTTAAAAAGTTGTTTATTACAGAGGTCTGTTAGTATAGCCATTTTAGGTGTAGAGCTTCCCCATTTCTTCTTGCCAGAAAAATCAAAACAAATTCAACAAAAAAACCCAGAATATGAGATTCCCAACATTGAGACTAAATAAATAATACTAGATTATATGATCCGATACAACTCTTAAGGCAATTGAAAGAGCTAAGAAGGAACAGCCCTAGGAAGAACTAATTGCAAACCTTTCACCTTTTCCAAAATAACTCTTACCAGAAGTAAAAACAATGTTTCACCAGACTCTTCTGAATTTGTCTTGCATAAGTGGGACAGATCCAAACAAAAATGACAAGCAAAAGCAGTAAAATATACCCAACATGATTATCACACCTGTCCCATTATTAAGTTTTCCTTAGAAATCTATTTCTGAATCACACAACCAAACAAAATTATTGTAATGACTGTATCATAACTGCCATTTGTTAGAACATTACAGAATGACTGGTTTTCAAGCCGTGATTTTACAGTGCTATATTTATGATGCAAGTTAATTTTGCAAACTATTTAGAAGGTATAAAAGGTCTGTCTACTAACAAGGTACGCTAAAGTTTCAAAAAAAAAAAATATCCTCCAGTACAGTTCATGCTGCATAGTAGCTGCCTGTTCAAATTTTGGCCCTTGACATTTAACAAACTTTTTTGTTAAAAGCTCGCTTAGCACAGTGAGCTTACTGGCCACCTTTTTAACCTTTCCCC